TGTCCCTGCCACTCCAGCTATTAATCTTGTGGAAGGAGAGAGACAAGGAGCAGAGTTGAGTGCTTCCTTCTCCTTAGCCCTACGCAGCAGCACAGTGCTCCTGTCCTGACTGCAGACACTCCTGCAGAGGCAGCAGAGCCCTGCAGACATCTCCTCTAAAGCAGAACTAAGGAAAAAGGTAAAGAATGGATTTAACAGAAAGAAATTGTCTCTGAGTATAATGTTTTTCCTTGTTTCCCGTGAAACGGTGAGATTTCTTTACGGACAAATAGTCAGAACAGAGTCCATTACACTACACGGTTTTTGCCTTGAAATATAAATAGCTGCATGTCATATAAGTTTGTTATGAGGAAATGTGTATGCGAGAGAAAGTTAGACATTACACCATTATTTCAAGCGGAAAGCTATTGCTAAAGGGAGAGGATTACTTACCATATTAATTTGTTTCTTCAACTTCCCATCCATCTCTGCACATAAAGACTTCAGCTGCAAAATGTGGTGTTGGGTGTCCCCAGTTCCATTTCATCCCCCTCCCAGGCCCAGTTTGGGGGCAGTGACTGTGGGACTCTGGGTCCCAGCAGGCAGCAGGGGCATCTCAGTGATTGCTATGGCTGTGCTGAGCTCCAATGTCCCAGTGCATTGCTGGGTTACAGCAGAATTCCTGTTAATCTATAGGGAAACCTTTCCGGGTAGAAGCATTCTGATCCAGCAGCTCTATCCCTACCCTAAATGCACAAGAGAAGTGCTCAGATCTATGCGCCCATTAGTCCTCGTGTAGCACCTAAACCTTCCAAAATATCCCCGTTGTTGTTGGTACAGAGCTGCAGTGAAGTGATCATCAAAGAATTTCTTCTGAGTTCAAGTCTTCTACCTGAGGGTGGCAGAAAACACTGTGCCAAGCAGGGGAAGTGAGAGCATCACTTTGCTTTGGTGAGCCAGCCTGGGAGACCAAGGGTTGCACCTTTAGGCACTGGGCACAGTGGTGGTGCTGTACCAGGTTGGGGGGGCAGGGACAGGGGCTAGAAGGAGCAGTTCTGTTGTGCTGGCAGCTAGAGCAGGTCATCACGGATCTGCAACTTGGCCATCAAAATGATCCTTGTGTTGCTGTCTTCCTGGGCTTGGTGTTAGAGATCAGCTCTTTGTTCCAGCATGTGAAAGCTGAAGGCTGGAGCCCTTGCCCGATGCTCTGTTTTTCTCTGCTTGCTGATGTAGGTGCAGAAGCCTCAGCGCTGCACACAGGATAGAGGAAAGCAGTAACAGGGTCTTGTATCATCATCTTATACGCTACCTCATTCAAAGGGCTCTGTTTGAAACCTGGCACCAACATGTAGAGAACATGTTGCATTTTCGCCGGTACCTCTTCAATCTGGTTTGCGAGACGTCCTGGAGGAGGTGACCTTGGACGGCAGGCAGAGCAGCAGAGCTGCATAATAAGAGCATCTCTGCACCGGTGGCAGCCTGTTGGGTACAGGGCAGTTAATAAATAATGAGGATGTCAAAGAGAACAGCAGGGAATGGGAGCAGGTAGCAACTCTGCAGCCAGCTCTCTGACAGCCACCTGGCAACGTGCAATTACAGGGCACTGCGCTCAGCCTGGTTTGGGGCTCAGGGATCCTGCAGCGAGCAAGGCTTAGCAGAGCTGCACGGCACTTAGCAGAGCTGCATGGTGCTTAGCAGAGCTGCATGAAGCTTAGCAGAGCTGCATAGGTTCACCCAGAGCCTCTCCCCATGGGAAGAGGAAGCTGCAGCTCTGAGACACGGCAGCGGTCACACAGAGGTTCTCCCAAGGATTGGACTGCGTGCACCCACAGCCCAGGAGTTGTGCATCTGAGCACCCCTCAGGTGTGATTGATTTTTTGATGACTCTTTAAACATCTGGTGAGATGGGACTGCTTTCCAAACAGCAAAATCTGCACCAAAATGGTCTTGATTTGAATAATAAGCATTCCGCTGTTGTTTGGTAAATACACCCAGTGTTAATGGTGCCTAATGGTGCCTGTAATTGGTGTCTAAAGTTATTTAAAAGTAAATTTACTAGAAAATAATTAGCAATTTTATAGTTCACTACTTCCTAATTTTGTTGATAAAAGTTTTCTAGCGGTTTTATCAGATGACACAAGAAGGCCGTGCTGCAAAATAGCTCCTTTTTTTTCAAGCGAGCAGGAAATTGTGCACACAAAATAGGATTGAAAAAAATTTCCCCCTAATTTCTTTGCCTGGCAGCCAGCCCTCTCCCTGCCTTCATTACAAACTGCTTTATCCTCCATCAGCAGCGAGGGAAACCACCCACGTGCTGCCGAGGGATCCGTGCCCCATGACCTTGGCAATGCCTCCTGAGCAGGGAGAGCAGCGAGTGTGCAGGGGGGGCAGCCCCCAGTGCAGGGACATCCACAGGAACACCCCCTGCCCACAGGGACACCCCACTGCAGGGCTGCAGCTGGGGCTTTCTGCTGCCTGCTCAACACTGAGCGGTCCACACCTGCAGGGGCCGTGCAGTCCTGGGGCCTGGCTTACTGGGGGGGGTTCACAGCTGGGGTCTCCCCAGGCTCAGTGTGGGTCTGAGGAGGAACAGAGCACAGAAATGCAGCTGCTACACCGTTTTATTGTTTAGTGCTGCGGGTTCCAGTGTGTGGTTGGAGATGTTCACACTGTGCAGTACAGAGGGACACGGACAGACAGAGACACGTTTGGGAGGCGGTGAGAGCACAGTGACTGGGGTTCAGAAAAGACCAACAACACTCCATTTTCAGTCTCTACACCATGCAGCACCAGCCCTCCAGAACAATGAATCACCCGTCTGTGTATAAAATTAAATATAATTTATGCTTTGCTAATTGAAATCAAATACAAAATTCAATTTCCTGTGTATTGTAATGCTGACATTTGAATAGGTTTTTTAAAAAGGTATTATTAACCTGACTCTCTCTTTTGGCAGGCCGCTCTCTGGCCAAACAACTCCTCTGTCAAAGCTCCACGTTGGCGATGCAGACGCACGCGTTTGGGGCACAGAGCAGCCACGTCTCAGTCAGCAGAGCACAGCCCCACAGCCCGACCCCTCAGTGCCACGTGTGCTCCCAGCCTTGGGCTCGAGGTTGTGGCCAGTATAAAAAATAAAACTCTGCAAATATGGCAAAAAGTGTGGACCAGGAGGGTGGCAGGACGCGGGTGTGGGTCTCCTGGAGAGTCCAGGTGTTGTCACGGAGGAGATGTGTGATGCAGTGCCCCAGACCTTGTCCTCCTGCTGAGTACTCACACTGTGTGGCACTGGGGCAGCCCACACTCAGAAGAAGGTATGACATTTTAACAGCATGTGACACACCATGAGGTTATTCCTATTACATATTTCCAATTATCACACAATAATTTGGGGGTCTGAGGATCAGTAAAAAACTGTTATGCCAGGACAGGAGCTGCTTTGAAACCTAATCCAGAACGATGGAAGCTGATGTAACTTCAGCAGGGAGCTGCTCAGCACAGAGCTGTGCTGTACCCCTACACAGTGCAATTTTCAGAATGAATCCAGCTCTTTCTTCTCCCGGTCCAAGGCACCAGCACTGCCTTTAGTGTAATGACCCACACGACAGACCATGAAACCCAGAGCAGGTTCAGCTTTTTAGCTAATGAAACACTGTTTTCATTTGGTTAGTTGGATCAGTGGGGTTTTCTTCCCACCGTAATCAGAACTGAGTCCTGGTCCTCCCAAAGCCACCTCACACTGCATCTCTGCTACTCCCGTGAGGCACTGGGAGCTGTGCAGCAGCCGCAGTACTACAGGAGGACAGGAGCAACACTTGTGCTAGAAATCACCCGTACAAGGGGAGCAATAGCTCTTCACTTTTCTTTTGCTCTCTCTCTTCCTGTTTTTCTCTCGATAATGGTCAGGAAAGCAGCAGCTGTCTCCAAGTGCTGCTGCCTTGCTCTCCGCCGGTCCCAGCGCGCAGCTCTCAGCGCACTGCTGAGGATTCAGTTAAGATATGGGTTTGTTCCATAGCTTCTACCAGGATTTGCAAATTTGGCTGAGCGTATGACTCGGTCATTTCCACTAGAACACACACACATGTTTGTGGAGCAGTGCTCACCCTGGGAATTAATTGCTTTTTTGTAACGGATTTGAAGTGAAGACAAAGGCTGCTTTGGGACTTCGCACAGCCCGCTGGCAGCAGCCAGCAGCAGGAGCAGGTCCACGAGGTGCACATGAGCCACAATCCCAGGGCCACGGTGGGAAAGCTGTCCCCATGGCCGGGATCCCATGGAGAGTGCCCGGCCCCCAGGCAGTGCCCAAGACCTGCAGTGAGGCCTTGGGATGTGGGGGGAAGGCCCCGATTCTGGTCTCACTGAGCAGCCCTATAAATTAGAAAGGTTCTCTCCCCATACATCAGAACGGTTCTCTTCCATCAGTGGAGCAGCGGTCACCAGTGAGAGGAGAATCGTGCCCAGGATTTGTGGCACTTGGTAAATACGAGTTTTAGTGCAACAAGTAACTGGAACATCTGGTGCAAATTATGTTTCTGTACAGAGTTCCTTTGCAGCATAACTGGCTTTATTCCTTCCACATACAAATGCCAAGGTGCTTGTGAATGCACGGCCTGAATTCACCAGATCTCATGCTGCTGCGTGAGCAAAACTTTAAGCCAGGGCAGGGGAAATCAGACCTCTTGGTTTGTGGTGCTGCTGGGTTCTGCACACCTCCTGCTGCTGCCTGCGTGGCACAGGGACACGCCATCAGCAGAACGTGGACACGAAGCACCCATCACCCACACCACACCTTCTCCTCCTGCCCATTCCCTGATCCCTCAGGAGGATAGAGCCCAGGCCAAACACCCTAGAGGTGACACATCACCAAGGTTTCAGAGCTGGCCATGCTGTTCACCTCCAGCTGCAGCCCCAACCACGCAAGTGTTGTGCTTACAAGCCCAAGCCTTCAGCCCTGCATGAGTTCCGGGTCTCTAAGGATGATTCACATCTCAAAAGGAAAGAGCTCTCTTCCCGATTTCTTGGTTCTACTTCTCACTTTCTTCCCGCTCCCACTCGAAATCCTGGCCTGTCATTTGGTAAAACATGACATTGAATGGTTTGTAAAACTTCCGCAGTCTGTGGATGACGTCAGGGTCTATTTTGGGGTGAGTCCGACCCTTGGACTTGCCCAAGCACCGGGGAGCACTGCTGTCCTCCGGCTTCTTTAGACAGGGGAACCCCTTGGTTTTATTAAAATAAAAATGTTTCTCTGTCACAATCCTCTTGAGGCCTAAGAAGTCCTGGACCTTGGCCATCTCCCCGGCTGGGTCTGTGATGAGCCTCTCACCACTGACAAAGAGAATCTGGGAGAGGGGGAAGTACTGCAGCCAGTTCTCCAGGTGCAGAGCGTAGATGCCGATGCGGATGGCGCTCCAGGAAGCGTCAATCAGCCCCAGGGTCCGGTTCTTGAAGGCCAACACCTCAAAGGTGGGGATCTCTGGCTTCTTGGAGAGCGTCTGCGTGTAGTCCGAGATGGCGCGGGTGACTGGGTTGCGAACTACCACGATCAGCTTGGTGTCCTTGGCCATGGAGTGGATGCGCCTGGGGGCCTCATTGGTCACAAAGTAGCTGGGGGTTTTCTCCATGGTGATCTGGCCTTCCAACGTCTTGGGCATCACGTCCCTGAGCAGAAGCAGAGGGAGGGGGTTAGTAACTGATGGCGGACACCGGCAGCTCCTCCTGCCCCATGCATGACGATGGGGACACCACTCAACTCATGAGCCTGAGGACCAAAGCGCTTCTGGCTTTGTCCTCCCTCGGACCCCAGATATGGTGGGCACCCGAAGTGTTAAATTAGCCTTGGTAACACATTATACAGTCAATTCGCCATAGGCATGTGTAGACAAAAGTTAATTGACAATAAACCTGTACAATACCTGTCTGTTCAACAAGCCATCTGCTTCCATTTGCTCAATTAAGTCTATTCACTTCAGAGCCTTGTACCAGAGTGGTGCAGTTAGGATTACACAAGACCTTTTTGTTATGATGACATGCTTTTAAATGTCTCAGCTAATAAAACTTAATACAGAGTAAGATCCCCTGCTTCTAGTACAATAATTAAATTTATTTACTATCTTGTGTGTGAGAAAGAATGACTTTTCTTTTATCTCTAATTCACATGCTCTGTCAATAATTAATTGCTGCTGGGTTTTGAGCTTCCTGTGCAAGCACTTTTATTAGCCAAAAGGAATTTGCCTACCGGATAAATTAGCATGTAGCAAGACTTTCCTGGATAGCATATTACCATACTGTAAAATGAAACTGCAACAAGATAGCAGTTATATCTAAGAAAACAAAGAGGTAAATACTTGTCCCAGCTGCCCCCATAGCAAGGCAGAAGACGTGAAGCGATGTCCCTGCAAGAGTGCTGCATCCCCTTCCCAGCCCTGGCAGCTGTCACAGTGTCACTGTGCGAGCATTCAGTACCACGGCGTGTATGCTTAAAGGTTTCACAAGCACAAGGACTGATTGTTTTTTAAGTGTGCTCCAACAATATTTTTTCTTAACCTTTTGAAATACTTGCACATATGCACACCCACACCAAGTGCAGTTTGTTTAATGTGCTGTTTGCTAATTTGTCCCGAGCACCCTCTGCCTTATGGGGATTCTGGGCATGAGATGCAGTAGGGTGGGAGGATGCAGCCAGGATGGGGGGATACCGCCGGGGGGCGGGGGCCGCATGCAGTCTGGCTGTGTGACCCACTGGATCCTGCAGCACTGAGCAGGTGTGAGGCAGCAGCACAGAAGGAGGTGCTCAGGGTCTTGCAGGATAATCCCATTGCATTCTCACTATTTTTAGTTCAAACATATGCTGAGGAAACAATGTGAATGGCTGCGACTGGTTCAGTGAGAGCACCTTGGGCACCAGCGACCGCAGCGATGCTGACGTCAAGAAGCAGAGCACTCGGAAGCAGTCAGTTCATGGAATTACACAGCTGAGGGCTCCAAGCAGAGCTTTCTGCCAGACGAGGCCCAGACACATATTTCTGTCACTGTGCCTCATGACTGTACCTGCTGAATGCCAGCAGCTGCCCTGTGCCTCATCCCAGCCCACCCCGCCCCTGCAGTGGCATCGACCACAGCAGTGCAACGATGCATCTCAAGATGTTTTCCTCTAAGAAAAGCCAGAAGGGATTAACATGAAGCCAGCAGCAGGAGACTGGAGATGCTGCAGAACCAGAGGGTGGCATTCCTAAAGGGATCCAGCACCCAGACAAACATCCCTGCAGGAAAGGAGAATGGCTCTGGTGTGATGCTACTTCCAGTCTGCAGCCCTCAGGACGGCACCTGCCACTGGCAGCCATGTCAGCAGTACCTGGCAGCAGTTTGCAGCCCAGGGAGATAATACTGCTCTGACAGACCAACGCACTCCCAGAAGAGCCCACACCTGCAGGAGGAGCAGCAGCCAAACGGCACAGGAGTGAATGACTGGTACTGAGCTGGGAGCTGGGAACAGCCTCAGGAACAGGGAGGGGAGCAAGGGGAAGAACTGGAACCAGGGAATAAAGACTTTTCCTGTGACATTGTCCAGGGTGTTCCAACAACAGATTTCTATTGAACCATTAATTACCAAAATTGATGTGTTGCTATTCTGTTCCTTCCTCAACAAAATAGTTATTTTGTCATCATATACAGCTAGCAATCTCTCTGTGTTTCCTCTTTAACTGATTCTACCACAAGTTAACCACAGCTCACTGTTTCTGGCTCTTCTGTATACAGTGCAAATTAACTACAGCTGATCTGGGGGCAACTGGGGTCCGCCACCAGGCAGTTGCTGGGGGGTGTCCTTCCTGGGTCCCCTGGCTTGGCACTGGTCACTAATAGAAGTAGCAGTGTGCAGAAGTCCTTCTATGGTGCAAATGGACTGCCAGACAGGTAGAGAACACCATTACCCCGTGGTGTTCCGTTAACTCAAGACCCATGCACACTTGTTTATGCTTTCTCAGACAGGATAAGTGTTTTCCTATGCAATTGTCTGAGCATACGGAGGGGCCTGCACAGACAAACTTGGCTGCTGTAGGCTCCTCTGAGTCAGACACGCTGGCAGCAAGCAGCAGGCTGTCAAATGTCAAAATGTGGCAATTATGAGATGTTAAAAGCTCTGCTGGCCTGTAAGTGATGTACACTCAGACAATAGTGCTCGAGGGGCCCCCTGCCACCACCTGGTATGACCCTGGTGTGGCAGGGGCAGAGCCCTCCCTGCCACCCCAGTCTGCTCTGCAGCACGGAGCTGTGGGGCCCTGGTGAGCTCCCAGCACTGCTTCACATCGCTCACGGCCGCTTGGCATCTCCACTACAACACAAATCAGTCCGGCCACAACCACTAAATGATTGTTTCAGAGTAATACATCTTTGTATCTGGGCTCCTATCTGACAAGATGCTGTTCTGCAAATGTCTGTGGATGCTGGAACTGAAAGCTCTGAGAAGCAAGAATTGGCTGGGCTCTGCACCCTGCGCTGATGCTGTGCAGCTGGAAAGCAGGGGCTGCTGACAGCAGCTGCACTGCGTTTGCTCCAACACCAGCAGCACTCTGCAGCTGCTGCCACATTTACCTGGGCATCGGGGTCCAGCATTAGATTTGTTTGCTTCATATTACAGAATGCGACTGTTATTTGTGGGTTCTTAGATGGCAGTGCTTTACAACAGATGAAAATTAATCTGAATTCAGAGGAAGCACTGCTGCTCTCCTGCACCCACGCTGTCATTCTGGAGCATCCGCTGCCTGTGGCGCTGGGTGCCAGCCAGCAGTAGAGCTCCCCCCCACCACCAATGCGACACTGTGGCAAAACCCCTTCATGGGCAGTTCTGTAAACAAGGATTTTGCTTCCCTCTGCTCTGGAGCCAGGAGGGAGCCTTAGTATTATACTTACTTCGCTCTTACTTTAAATTAGTTTCAATAAACTGTTCCAACAACAACAACAACAAAAAGCCTCTAAGCTTTCTCTCTGCAGCGAGGATGCTCCAGACAGTACACTGGCAGCAAGTTACAGGGCAAGCACCCCACAGCCCTGTAAGGGACCTGCTGCTCTCACTCCTCCCAGAGATCCTCTGGCTGCTGTGTGGCGATGGGCACAAAGTGCATTTGCTGCCCCGTCCCTGATGGTTGGTGGCAAAGGGCAGCTGTAAGCTCTCCTTGCAAAAGGCTGCTGCAGTAATTGTTCTTAACTGCTGCCTTCAGAAAGCTCTTTATTTTCAAAGGATACATTTTATAAATTTGTGAATTTGCATGTTGCCAAAATCCCCTTGTGGTTTATTTAAATCCAGATTATCTTGTTTATTCCTTCAGTCACAGCTGTCATTTATCTCTGTGTAGGCAGCTTGCGCACGATGTTGCAGGTTTCCTGCAATCCCACTCAAAAGGAGTCTTTGTTAACGGTATTTTCATGTTCCCAACAAGAGAGAAAAAGCTCACGGCAGCTCTCAGGGCTCAGAGGACCACAGAGAAGGACATGGACCTGCATGATGCTCTCTGAAGCAGGCAATGGCCAGGGGCTGCCACGGAGCACCTGCACATAGAGCTCATCTCCGCAGCTCATCTGCACGGAGCAAACATCTGCTTTTGTCTTTCAAAAGACAAACATGAAGTCATTTTCCATTTTATTATTAACACATTCTGGTATAATTGCTTGAGCTGTCAACTGTGACCTGCCAGTAATTCAGCAGGCGTGGGACTTTCAAGGGGAGAACGGCATTGCTACCGAGGGCTGCAGCGTGCATTAAAAGCAGAACCTATTTGCTGTAAGCCCCCAAGTCAAATCTCTTGTTGAATTCGTTCAAACATAAATTTACAGCTGAATTTACATAGGTTTAATGTTTTATAATCTTTTTGGTCTGTGAATCTATATTCAAGACTGAGTGCATTAGCTCAGAAATATTGTGCTTAACACTGAAAATAATTTTAATCTCTCCAAAGTCCAATCCTCTGCACATCACTAAACCTCAGAATCCAATCCCTTCTAATAAGAGACACAAAACTTGCATCTGTCGCTGCCTAATAGATTCATGCTGCTCTAATTCAAATGGCTTGCACATGTGTTTTAATAAAAAACATCCAATGAATTGCATGGCGCTTTCAGAAAAGCGAGTGCCAGCACAGAGGGAAGCAAAACATCCCTGGGAGATGCTCTGTGTCAGCTGCACGGCCTGGGAGCCATTGCAACCCCAATGCGGAAGAATGGGGAGACCCCAGCCCTGCACCAGTAGCTCTGCTCCTGCAGATGTAACACCCAGAAATAAGAAGTGCATGGGACTGTGCTTTTGCAGCAAACGAGCAGCTTTCCTTTGTCCCAGAGTTCACAAAGCCACTTGGAGCCCCTGCAAAGTGTTCTCATGAGGGGCAGTTGGAAAGAGCCCATGTGTGCAAGCCCAAGGATGCTCTCTTCGTGCCAATCACTTCCCCACCAAGCCTCCCCCCAGCACCTCCTGGGCTGTATGTGTTGAAAGCACCCAGGGCATGGCAACACCCCCAGCATCGTTCCCACCACCCATGTGTGCCCACCAAGCCCCCTCCTGCACCACGGCAGCGGAGCGATGGAGAATGGTCTCCGGTTGCCATAACAACGGAGGTGCTAACATCGTGTTGACTAACTGCAAGCCGATCTGATCAGAGAATGGAAGTATC